GTAGGGCTGCCAAAAGCCCTAAGTCCCAGTCTGTCAAGGCCCCAGAAGAGCAACCTGGAAACCCAGCTGGTCTCATTTCCATGGTCCATTTTCACAAGAAAAATTGCCTTCCCACACAGCTTTCGTATGGCTAAGTGAGCCATGGGAAACTAACTGGGATTTTTTCTTCAGTGCAAGTTGGATAGCACTACAGTGCAGCATCAGCAAGCAACTTTCGTTCATGGATGCTTCAACAAAGTGAACATCTGACTTATGGACAGTAAACAGGGACTACACCCAAAGTTAAATTAACCAATGTTGTGCTGGAACACCTAATTTCATAGTTCCATGTGTACATGAAACATTATAGGGCACTCAAATGGATCTTCGAGGTGGATTGCAGCTCAGTTTGAAGTTCTGACACCCCAATTCTTTCAGACAGCTTCAGTTTGCTCAAGCTGCTTTGTCTACGGCTTAGTCTTTGTTGGTACATCTTGACAGGTTTCCTAGATTGGGCAGAAAACCTGCTTTGTTTGTCTTTTAAACAAAGAATTAGTGAAAACAAACAGTGCCAATATTTCAAGCCATGTATGTCTGAAAGAGGTCTTTTTTAGATTTCAGCTTTAACTCCCCAAAACACAGAGAGTAGCAGGTTCAGCTATCCAGAGGTTACTCAATCTCCCTAAGCTAAAAATAGCCATTGTTACTCTTGTCCCTACACTCTACTATATCATTATGTCCTAACTATCATTAGAATAAGAATATGCAGATACATTGATTTGCTACTTAGACTATGAATGCAAGAAGAGAGCATTGCATAACCAAGCAATTAATTTACTGTAATCGTCACCATGTGCCTCTGTTAGCAGACATTTATAGCAGAAAGTTGCAGTAGCATTTTATTTTAACCCTTTCTATTCTCTTTTAAAATGTGTCATGCCCTGAAATTGACACTAAGCTGTGAATATTCTGCAAAGAAAATAACCAGTGGAGATCACCACGAATATTAAAATGAGACTAGTCAAAAAAAGCAGCTAAGCAAAATGAAGGATAGTAAATTAAATGACCTTGTGCTCCATCTCCATCTCTGCATTTTTTACCTTCTGTCATTGGGCCAGCCAGCGTGTGACCTAAGAAAGAGGATTCACCACACTGGCAAATGTTGCTACTTCAAATTAAAATGAAATTGTGTTAAAGCAAAGCATCTTATGCAGAGTTGTTTGTTTTTATGATCCAACAGGTACTGTTATTTTCCAGTGTTTTTCCATCCATTTGCTGATAGACAAAGTTCAGTAACTGCCTTTCACCAAAGGCACCATGGACTGACAATTTCCAGTTATAAGGAGATTAAAAGTAGAGGCACACCTTGGAAATACAGTTCACAAAATCCTTTAAAAGTCTTTGAGCCACTCTAGCCAGCCACTCAGCAAGGAAGCCCAATGGTCAGCCACTACACTTGCTCACCCTAGGTAAGAGATGAGAAACTCTGGAAGCTATTGAACAGTGAATTTTCACAGCAGATCAGCACAAACATATTTAGCACAGAGGTTTCTGTCACTGTGAAATGTCAAACAAAATTGGAGAATGTTCAACAGTTTTCCTGCTCTGCAGTTGTCTTTTGCTTTTTTCTTCCCCGTAGTTTCTCTTTACTGGGTTCCTGTATGCTGCATGGTAAGAAAAGTACCCTTTTATTACACTGCAAGGAATTATTTAAGAGGACTTGACCAAACAAAATTTTGCTGACCTCAGCCTTTTACCCCGTAGCCTTATAAAGATGTGATTTAGAATAGCTACACAAAAGAAATAATGAAAAAAAATTCTGGTTAGGTAGCTAATCCCCCATGGAGCAGTGAGTAAGACTGTAATGTATAAAAGATCATTGACCTATATTTCCAGCCATATTCCTCAGGATGATAAACACTACAGGAGTCAAAACAACAAAACATAATTAAACAAAATGCCTCGTAACCAGCTGTTTTCTGAAGAGGCTGTACATATACACCATTGAAAGCTGAGCATCAACCAAAAATCACAGCCCAGTGGTACATAGCACAAGGGCACGATTTCTTTTCTGGGTTAAGAGAAAAGCTTAAGAACACCTGTGAAAACAGGTAGTAAATGTTTGCTTTACTATAATATCCACTGAAATTCCCATCACTTCTTTCTCAGGGTTCAGTAATAGCTGTTTTGGAATCATTCCCAGCAGTATCAGCTCTCGGAGAAGACAATAAAATATCCAAAATATATTGTCTGGAACTGCTTTCTCTTATTATATAAAATCAGATTAAAAAATAAGACACCAGCTTTGCAAACACGTCTGCATAACTCTCAGTTAGCTGGCTGTTATTCACATTTAGACTGTCAATAAGCATGACACTAAGATGTGTATATTGTATGTTTCGATCATTTGGACCCAAAGCTGTTGAAAAAAAGTTCTGACACCTTTTCCTTCCCCGCTATCCTTTTCATACATTAAATATGAATAAAATAACAATTTTTCATATTTATATTTACTTATGTTCCAGTGAATAATAATAATAATAATAATAATAATAATAATAATAATAATAATAATAATAATAATTTGGAAATTGAGTCCTAAAACATTTAATAATGTAAAATATAATTCTCTTTTTAAGATTTAGTAAGTGAAACATTTACTACATGTTACATACATTTCTAAAAGAAGGAACAAAATAAATCAAAATTACAAATAATTCATTGTATGTGAAAGAAGAAAAGAAAAAAAATAGCATTGCATTTTTCTCTACTGGTACTGCATAAACTCATATCTTTTAAATATCTACAGCAGTGTAGGTGTAACCATCTTGATGTATACCTACATATCCACATAGTTAAGCTTCAGTAAGACTGATTCTTAGAATAATAGGGCTTGATTTGTACCACTGATTTCAGTGGCAACATGGACAGGCAACCAGGAGGAGGCCTATGAAGGACATTCATATACAATGGATATGATGACACACTATGAAAAATGCTCTTAGAATGCTGCTTGTTAGACAATACTGAAATATTCTGTTTGGGTAAATGAAAACAAACTAACTTTGAATCTAATTCAAAATTACCAAAACTTGAGCTTTTATATTGTGCTGAAATCTGACTGTGATTTCATTAATAAAAAATATATATAAAAAAAAATTAAAAAGCACACAGAGGAGGTAGTCATATCTTTTATCCATGTTAGTGTGGAAGAACAGGGTAAATGAATGATATGAGGAATACTTGTCTAGCATTGGATCGGGCTAACTCTTGTGTATTTTGAAAGCTTTGTTTTCCCCATTTTGAAATTATTCATTACATTGTTCATCACATGTGTAAAGTTTTTCTAGATTGCTCCCAAACTAGCACTTAATGAAAGCAACTTATTCTGATTGAAGGACCATAGCTGCTGCATGCAGAGGTTTGGGGCTCATCTTTCTGACAGCTATATTAAGGCATTTATTTTCACCCTTTCATGAGGCCTTCGACATCATCTGGTATGGGACTGAGAATCACACAGGCGCTCTCTCCTCTGGGGTAGGGAAAAGCAAAGGTGCAATATCAGAAAAGCAAGAACAGAGGTAGAAGGTATGATTTATTCTGCCTTAGTGTAAGACTATCACAAAAGAATGTATTTTTTATAATGTGTCACAACTAGGTTTCTAACAATATAAACAAAATACACAGCAGTTGTGCCAGCAGTGATCATAAATACATGTTTAGCATAGCAGCTGTAATAACTTGCACATCATCATACAAGAACAAATTCTTGTCACACTCTTGTACGTGGAAAAAAATATGCTCTCTAAAATGTTTCACATGAAAATTCAATGCTCCCATTACCAGAGAGCGCAGTTCTCACAGGACAAATAAGACTGCAGTCTGAAAACTATTTTAATAAATCAAAACTAAATACACTGGTGTCTATATTCTCTTCAAAGGCTTATTTTTACTCTGACTTGGGGCTTTGTAGAGCAGATGCAGCAGTGAACATGTGCACACTTTCTATCTCTTTACTCTGCCTCTCTTTTTAAACACAATAGACAGAAAACAAGTAGCACTTGATCACAGCAGTCTCCAGTCCCAGAGCATCCACAAAGCTCTTCCTAATCCTACTTCTGCTAATCAATGTAATATGAAGAATGGAAAGTGGAAAGCCCATCCTTATAACAAGTAGTGGATACAATGTGAGCTGGGCTCCACTCCCAGTTCTACCCTGATGTTTTCTGGGACAACAAACATACATGTAGATGTCCTTTCAACTCTCTTAGCTTCCATTTTCTTTTCTATCTTGTCTTCTCATTTTAGACCACAAGCATACAGTAAGGTGATTTTTGCACTGTCAAGTTAACTTTAGGAAGGTCAAACTGATGGAATCATACCCGCTGCAGATATTTGCCCTTTTATACCACTGAATAAATCAAATAGTGGTGCTTTCACCTTCTGCTTTCATTTCTGCATACTTCTTGTGCTTAACACCGTTCCTTCCCACACTTTGCCTGCTGGGAACCAGCATGTAGGTACAGTATTTTAATTGAAGCCTCTGAATTTGGTTTGCTCAAAACTGTACAGCATTTCAGCCCAGAAAAACTTGATCCAAAAATGGCTGTACTTATATCCCAGATGCTCTGTCATTTGACGACCTTTTGAGGCAGAGCCCTGTAAAATCCACTACTGCCAACCGTAAGGCTGGAGCCATCCCAGCTGGGTCCTGCTGGGATGGACCAAGTATTGGTCTTGCTGCAGGCACAATGGTGGTCCAGGGGACATATCTTGAATGGGAGGCACAGTGTTTCCAGGAGTAGGAACACCCCCAGAACTCACAGCTCACGGGAAAATTCCTTATACTTCTGACCAAAACCACACATAAGCATTCAGCTGATTCCTGTGAATTGGAAATCCTGTTTTGTGATGACCAGAGAAGCATCTATCTGTGTCATATTCTTATATAATTCTACCTGAATTTCTTATCCATGCTGATTAAGAATTTAAAACATACTGCAGAGTAATGCAAGTCTTACCCTCCATGTGAGTAGTTTCTCCTTTCTCCTTAGAATTTTTAATCAGTAATTGCTCACCATGAAGAGGTGCTTAGGATCTTCTCAGCTGCATGTCTTCATTGTTCCAATACTACTTTCACATCTCACTTCTTTCAATATATATTTTATTTTTACAAAGCTTTCTTTTAAGGAATTTCACTTTCTTAATATGACTGGAATCATGTAGGGAAATATACTGCTCTTCTGTGTTTTCTTCTACTGTCAGCACTTCAAATATTACACTTTTATTCATTCTTGTATTGCTGATTGTTCATTCCGATCTATTTAGTCCTTCTCTTTTCTCCTGGTATCCAGGGAGTCGGGGCTACAGGCTTCTGAAGTCAGTTCAGATGGTTATCTGCAATTTCTCTTTGTTGTGCTCTTCGAGGTCAAATCCATTACAGCATGTGCTCAGACTGACTTTCCACACTTAACTCTACCAGCTGTACTGTGACACACTCAGCAGTTCACCTCAGAACCTGTTATCCATAGATACAGGAGATGTTAAACTTGATACAGAAAAAGAACTTGTTTCCTGGCTGCCCCTCACCTTAAAAGGTCTTGTGGAAATAGGGATATTTTTGATGAAATCGATAATCATACTAGATGCTAATTAGCAACATCACATAAAAAATAATATATATACCCATAAACATTTCATTCATATAATATACAGCACAGTTACAGTCAGGTAATTTTATCACATTGGCCATCCCAGATTACTTAGAGATTGTGATTTCTTTCTGTCATATCATATCAACTCAGAAATAAAAGTACCTCAGCAAATAAAGCTGCTTTAGTATTTGCAGATGATTTATAACAGAAGTTACAGAGCCAAGGTAACGTTATTTTCTTATGGCCCACAGTCTAGGGTAAACTAGTATATATAAGGCTTTTTATTTTTTTAATACAAGAACAGATTTTGAAAGCAACACATACTTTCTAATGCTGAAGTAGTCCATCTCAGATACCTGAAATCCACATTCTGGTAGTAGATTGATTCATCAGCCTTTTGCATCTGGAGGTGTTTTTGCTCAATTTTCAGAAGGTATGAGTTGTTTGGGTTTTTTGTCAAATCTAATTAAGATGGAGATGATAGTAGTCATTAGGACAAAAACAGCAATACTAGGAAAGTAAAGGAATATCAATCTTCCAAATTAAGATAACATTCTGAATTTGGATGGCATTTTCAGGTTCCCAGCCTACCAGTGATCAGGAGGGTCCTTTCACAGTTTCCTACCCTGGGGAGACTGAGACAGCCCTCATACAGAGATCAAAAAAGGCTCATACTCAGTTAAATTTTGCCAATACTTATCTGTCCCCAAAAATACAAAAGCAGAAATTGAGAGAGAAAAAAAGAAAAAGAAAAAAGAAAAAAGAAAAGAAAAAAGAAAAAAGAAAAAAAAAAAGAAAAAAGAAAAAAAAGAAAAAAGAAAAAAGAAAAAAGAAAAAGAAAAAAGAAAAACGAAAAAAGGCTGACCCACTCTACAGTAAAAAGAGGTATCTTCTCATGACTGTGATATCTATATTTTGGAAACATAACTGGCCACCTGTATTACCAAGGAAAGGTTTTGAATTATTAGTGTCCAGTTATAGATGCCAAAAATGGGGTTAGGGCTGCTTATCTAAAGACATCCTGTCTGTCTCTGCTCAATGCTGCGGTCATCAACCCACAAGTAAGTACAAATTCTGATACCCTGTCAGCGTTCATCAGTTTCTTCTTCCACAGCCTGGTAATCCCTTTGGTCTTAAAATGGAGGATCCCTATCAATAGTCCGACAGACACCTTGCTAGCAGTAAGGATGGATGGAAAAAAGGAGAGTTAGGGTTCCAGATAAGCTTACCTTTATCTTTTTCATTCCTTTCACACTGCAAGCTTATCATTCACAGCTGAGGTGGTCATATGTGCCTCAGCTGGGAATGTTCAAAGCTTCTGTACTAACTCTGCAGCTACTTTACCAAAAGCCAGCAGAAGCACCTCAGAGCCTTTTGTGATAAAACAAAGAGTAAAAGCACTGCTAAATGTTAGAAAAGCAAAAAGAAAAACATGTGGCCATATCATCACACAGCCATAAAATTCTTCTCTCACCTGTTCAGAAAAGTGCCTTTGATTTTCAGTAAAAGGTGCTTTGTATCTCAGAGGTACAGTACAGTAGTTGATTACTATCGTGTAATGTGGCATTTGCTACGATAATGACTTTTTCTTTTTTGTGAATGGCTGAGTCAATAAGCACATAAAATCCTTATATTTTGTCAATGTCTATGTTATTGCTGCCCTTTGGCTGAAGTAATTATACCTTTTTCCTTTTCAGAAAACTTATCCAGTGTTTTCTTTCTTTTTATTGCCACTGCTCTACTTGTATTTAATTACTCAAGCTTTGGAGAGTCTGCTTTTTATTGTTTGCACTCTGATGCTACGAAATGAGCTGCAATAGACTGGATGATGCACTTGGTCAGAAAAATGGTATCAGTTACAATTATCTGAATAAATAAGACCAAAAAATAAATAAAAAATAATATTTCACTTTTTTTTTTAATGCATACAGAGATTATTATGCAGAAATATTTATTCTACCAGTATATCATACTCAAGATTATAAATACATATCAGAGCAGGAAGAAGATGTATTTCCTGATCCCTATAAGGTAAAGAATTAGCTAGCTCTCACTTTGCTGTCCCTTCCACTTGCACATGTGTTAGCATGTGTTAGGTCTAAAGTAGAAGATAGGATGCCTGGAATTTCCATAGAATACATGTATACACTGGAGGATTAAGGTATAGAGGGCAGGACCCGGCAGATTGGGATCTGTTCTTTGGCTTTGCTATATGTTGCTTGCATGGCCCTAGAAAAACATTGGGTTCTTAAGCCTCAGTTTCCAACAGCAGCTTAAGGGGGTAGTATTACTTTCTCCCACACTTCTCTACTTTGATTTTATATTTTCCCAGACACGGTGTTTGCATACTGCATAGGGCCACATTTCCAGACCCTGTGAATGATTTTTTTATACCATTAATAAAAAATGAATTTATTTTAGCCCATAAAAGAAAGTCCCAATTGAGCAAACTACTGATCCATATATAACTGAAGTCAATGGGGTCACATAAAGTTAGGGATATTATTAAAGACTTTTCTGTTTCAGGGCCTTAACCTCTCAGGAACACATTGATTCATAGCTTGAGGTAGTGTTTATTTTGCTCTTTCTTTCAGTGCATGCTTATTTATAAAGATTTTTCTTCCTGAGCAGACCTTGTGGCCTTCTCAGTGCTGGGTTTCTGCTCAGTAATCCCACCAGATTATAAAGATTTCTAAATATCTAATTAAAAACTTTTACATCTAGCAATTGGATCTGTCCAGGGATTGAAATGAAAGGAACACAAATCTTTTCACTGGCAGCTTAATGGCCTGAAGTACAGCTGCAATGTTTGGGAGAATCTGAGTACCATTTATGAATCCCAGTTTAAATGTGGGGAATGATTTTTACCTGTCTTTTGCTTTCACATTCATTTATGAGCAATAAGGAAGGGGAAAGGAAAAGGTTTTAGGTGGCATAGAAAGAACAGTAGCAGGATACGTCTTTGAATGGAGCAGCACAGAAAAGGGGACAGATCACACTCAAAGTAAACCAAGTTTTCAGCTCTGCTCTTCAATACAGCAAGGAACAAATCATTTGCTGTGATATTTTAATGATTTGGTAGACCAGACTCAAGACACTCACCTGATGAAAGGCTGTGATGTTCATATAAAATAGGAGTATCTCATTGGCTGTATTAAAGCAGGAAAATAAAAAGGATGGGAGCAGAAATAAGAAACATACAGCACTACTGGGGGGGAGACTTGTTAGTTGGGGGCCAAGGTCAGACATGGGTAGGAGGAAGCTGTCATTGCACATACATGTAGATGTATTCAGATAAATGTGCACCCTTCTTGTGCTGGAAGCCAAACACAGGGAACATGGAACTCCTAGTGAGGAGGCACCAGCACACTACCATAGCTGCATGGCAAGGGCCTCTTAGCCCCATTTCACAACTGCCTAGCATTTTCTCCATACTGCAGAGCAGGAAAATGGATCCTGAGATACCTGTTATTCTGGCTTACAGCTAAAGAGAGATGAAAAATGTCCGTGTGGGTGCTGTGACTATTGCCAGCACCCATGTAGTGCAAATTCCATGGGTAAGCAAAGGACTTGAGTTTCCATTAGTCTCAAGCTGGCATCTTTCCTGAGCGTAAAAATCCTCTTTTAAAACACTGTTCATTCACCTGCCTTCAAAGAGTGCTAGACTGACACATCACAGGATGAGAGACCCTGCTTGCCTTTCCAAATGCAGCTCACACCATCTGGGAGCAGAGTGATGGCTTTCAGCCTAGCAGACCAGCAGGTTCATAAAGCAGCCCAGGAGTATGACAAGGCATTTCTGCTTTCAGGAGCAACTGAATTTTCCTGGTCAGTTTCAAATGATCTTCTGCTGCTTTGTAATGCACCTGTCAAGAGGTTTAACTGATGTTATGTTTTCTGAGCTCACTTGTATTGACTTTTCTGATAACCTTTACCTACCAAATCATGCATGAAAACTCAACGAACAAATGCTAAACTTTTTTCCTAATAGCCATTCTGCTCCATTTCCTATACCACACGCATAGATGTTATTGAATATTTAGCAAAAATCTTTATCGTTGCACAGCAACGATATCGTTGTCAGCATGAAGCCGAAGTTAAAAATAATAAATAAATAAATAAATAAATAAATAAATAAATAAATAAATAAATAATGGTGTGGGGGCTCTGTGTGGCCTATCACATATGATAACCATGGCTTACCAGGCTTCCTTGCATCAGTCTGAGGCATCCATTTGTGTGCACACCTCTCGCATGAGCATAGATAAGACTATGAGGATGAGATCAGCACAGGGATATTAAGAACTGCTCAGTAGACACACAGCAGCTTGTTAAACTGCCAAAGCATGATTTTGTGTCTGAGACAGGCTATGTAACCTGTACTGGGTATCAATCCAGAGATTTTCCATTACTTGTCTGTCTATATGGGAGTAAGGTGACATTGTCAGGCTACTAAGCATTGGTCAGTAGCTCTATGAGACTTGTTATTAATTCTTTGTATTACTTCTGCATATAGAGGCTCCACCTGCAATGATGGCTTTGATGTGTTAGACATACAGCAATGCCCATCATGGCAGAAGATGGTCTCTGTCTTCAGAGCTGACAAGAGGCAGGTGCAGCTGGTAGAACTGCCTGGCCTAATTTTAACCAGTTAAAACTCATTTTGGAGCCTAAGATGGTTACTTAGGTTCACTTGAGTCAGAGTGAGTGTCAGGTACATAGAAGGGATATTTTCCAACCTGTCTGAGGCACTTCATTTACCTGTGGTTAATGTCTCCCCCTCACATGAACACAGGGGGAGCCCAGACAACTAGCTGGATACCCAGTCCTCGTCGAAGCAGAGGTCCAAAAAAACAGCATGAAATGGAGACATCACACCTACTTGGCTGATGAAAAGCTGAGGCACAAGGGTATCATCATCGGCTGAGTTATGTGCTAGTCCCAGACCTGAGCCCAGACCCTTTCAGCAACAAAGCTACAGGCCCTTCTCCTGGCCCTGGCATCACTGAGCAAGAATTCAGCTCCACATAGCTGCAGGAGCCAGGGAGTCTTCTGGGACTGTGCTCAATCCCAAATGGCAACCACCAGAGCTCTCAGGCGCCTGCAGCTCTCAGCAAAGGAGACCCTGTTCCAGACATCAAATGCGTGGCTGGCTCCCCACGCATAGAAGCAGAATAATTCATTACATGTAGAAAGCCAGGAGCTCAGATGCATAGTGCTAACTGCTATTAACCATGGATCAGTGGCTGAAAACAAGAGAGTGGATTTTAAGGAAAGGGAAGACGAATGAGTGACTGCAACATTACCTGCAATTAATTATCACGGCGGTCAGTTACAAACAACTTCAAGCCATTTCTTGCTTTTAATGGCACTGTTAAACCCACCTTCTGGCTAGCTGTGCTGGAATCTCCCAGAGCAGCATGCTGTCTCATTCAGCACTTTGTGGGCTCATATTCAGAGAGCCATTTGGCCTGCAAACTTGCTGGATTATCTGTAAACACAGTGAAAGGAGACAGTTATTGCATTAGACCCAGGGAGTGCACCTGCATGCTAATGAGTTAAATGTCATGACAGAAACACAAGACCAAGGCTCCAGCTCCACCGTACCCTTTAAAAAGAAACCCATTTACTTCTGTAACATTTCAAACAGAAAATTACAGTGTAATTTCTTGTGTCAATACATAATTTATTCTGTAATAAATAACTAAATGCATATTTATTGCGCTTTTATTTTAATCCATCTGTTGTGCTCTTCCCAGGTTCTCCCTGCCCTAGATGCATTGTTCAGGTTGGTTATAACATTTTCTGTCTGAGGCTGCTGTACACTTAAAGCTCTGTAGCAATAAAGGTATTCAGACCAAGACACAGCCTCCATTCTCCTCCAAATGCCCCCAGCTTATTTATTTCACTGTTTTTGTTTTATTTTAACTTAAACTGAAGGTGTTTCTAGTACCAATAAAGAACAAACAAGAAAAAAGCATCCACTGTAAAGCATATAGGTTTTTTTTCTTTGTTTAGATCTGCTTTGCAACTGTTATAAAAAATCAACAATGCCAGTAAAGTTAGGGCTAATACTGCAGTCAAACTTTGATATTCCCTATATACTCAGGAATTGCAGAGGCACATAGGGCACGAATGTGGTGGTTTTACCCAGCTGGGCAGCTGAACTCTACCACAACCATTCTCTCACTCCTCCTCAAAGGAAAAGGGGGGAGAAAATACAATGAAAAAGGGCTCAAGGGTTGAGATGAGGACAGGGAGATCCTCAACAATTATCGTAAGGGACAAAATAGACTCAGCATAAGGAGATTAATATAATTTATTGTATATCTCTAGCAGACCAGAACAGTGAGAAACTAAAAGAAAACTAAAACCACCTTCCCCACATT